TTCAGAGACTTGGTTCTCAATAGGTAGAATTATTCCTTTGCTCTTTGAAAATTGTTAGAGGCTATAAAGGTCTTTAAAAATGGCCCTGCCTGTATGTCTTTTAATAAAGAGTACACATTTCAGTCTCCTTTTTAAACATTCTTAAATTTTTACAATTTACTTTTTGAAACAAGGTCTCACTATGTAGCCCTGGTTGGTCTGGAACTCTCTATGTAAACCAGGCTGGCCTTGAACTCATAGAGATTCACCTGCCTTTGCCTCCCAAGTGCTGGGATTGAAGGTGTGGGCCACCATGTCCAGCCCAAGTTTTTACAATCTTAAAGTTCCTTCCTAATTTAAAAAGTGATACTTTTAGTGCTCAGAGTTATATGGCATACGTGTCATTCAAAAATAAAAACGGAACATGAGCAGGAAGTGGTGGTGTGTGCCTTTAATCCCAGCACTCAGGAGGCAGAGGCCTGTGGATCGCTGTAAATCAAGGCTAGCCTGGTCTATATATCAAGTTCTAGGCAGTTGTGGCTACAGGGAGACCCTGTCTCAAAAAGACCAAAACAAGCAAAAAACAAAAAAATGGAGTGCCATGTAATTTTTTTCCAATATGATGCTTCCTTAGGTAAACCATGATCTTTTTAAACAGAAGATCGGCATCATCATAAATTACCAAACAGTCCACTGTTTCACAGTTCAGTCATTGTTTCTTTCATTATCTCCTGTCAGTGTCCCTTTCAGGAAGATACTCTACAATGAACATTTTTAAGCATGGGGCTATCCCTAGCTATAGTCATTGAAGTAGGATACAAATAGGCTGGCCACCTGATTGGTCAGGCCCTCTGCTCACCTCTTTGCTAAATATTTAAATGACCTCTTTTTATTTCTTATGGTTTCATTTAGATAAACTTTCTAAATTGGATTTCTTGGGCCAAAGGGCATGAAAATTAAAAATTAATTATAAGTGGATGATTAATTCTCTCTTGTGTCGGACAGCATTGGGATAGCAGTAACACTTTACTTATAAAATTATAGGATTTTTGGTATTCATTATGTCAAAATTATGGTTCATTTGCAATAGGCATGTAACCTTTTTTAAAAGGTTATTCTGGAGTATTTGGGAGACTGCATTATTAAAATAATAACATTAAATGCTCTATTAAAGCAATACTTTTTAACAGAATGTGATCTTTTAAATTGGTACAGGGGCTGGAGAGATAGCTCAGGGGTTAAGAACACTGGCTGCTTTTGCAGAAGACCTGAGTTTGGTTCCCAGCACCCACATAGTGGCTAATAACCATCTCTAACTCCGATGTCCTCTTTGAGCTGTGCGTTTCTCTAGCATACACAAGGCCCTAGGTTTGAATCCTACCACTGCAAAAATAAAACTGGTACAAGTGTTGGAGTTGAAACAAAACTATAAAGTATCAGAAGGAATTATTAAGCACTCTCCATATATTTTTTATTTTAAATTTACAGTCATTTATTTAGTCTTTTTTGTAAAACAAAAACAAAAACAAAAACATAGGGCTCGCCTGAATTCCCTACGTGGTCCAGACTGGACTCTAAGAGGCTCCTGTCTCAGCCGCCCACATGCTGAAATTACAGTGTGCCTTACCATGCCTGGCTATTCTACATACTGTTAGAATGTAGGCTGACAAAGTGGTTGTGAAGAAAAAAATAAATTGAGAAGAGATAGCTTCACATTTTCAACTTTGAAGTTACTTTAGGAAAGACCCAGGATGGGTGGGAATAAATTAAGGCACCTTTGAGATGATTTCTCATTCAAAGTATCTTTTATCTGGTTGTCAGTGTGCATTACTCTATCTGTAGTGATGGAGGGTTAACCATGTCCAGAGGGAGCAGAGAACAGATGATTAAGCCGCTTGACAAAGGAGAGAGCCCAATGGGCTCCAAGAAGCCTTTCTATATGAGTGCGCGCATCTATCTTGAAACTAAGGGAAAACGCACACAACATCAGGCAAAGACCACGAAGACCGTGATACCGACTGGAGACCATGTTTGTAAGACGGTCTGTCTCAACAGTCACCGTGTTAACCAGGATTTTGTGTGTTGACTTTTTGTTTAATTTTGGTGGATGTTATTGTTCCTTTTCCCTTCCCTACGGTGTTCAATTTTCTGTTCAGATTCTCTTCATAGTGAAGGTAAATAAGGATTTTAAGTCTTTCCACTCTTCTACCTGCAACCATAAGGCCATCAAACTTAAGGTCAGCCGCCCCAGTGCTGGGCACCTTGTACCTCCAACAGCTTAACACCAGGAGCACTTGCAACACAGAAACTTGTAAACCCGGTTGCCAATGCTAACAACTCACGGAGGACAAGTCACCCCACCGTTCCATTTGGTTTACTGGCTTGGGTTTTAGAGAACATTTAGTGGATTGGTTACTTTTCTTATTGCTATGATCAAATACTTGAGAACAAGCAATTTAAAGGATGGTTTATTGTGAGGATAAGTCACATGTTGGAAGGCACAGTAGCAGGAGTGTGAGGCAACTGGTCACGCTACGTCCCCAGACAGGAAGCAGAGAACAGACAAGAAGTGAGTCAGGCTATAAAATCTCAAGGCTGGCCCCTAGTGACCCACTTCCTGCAGAGGGTCTCAATGCCACCATCTTGGAATTAAGTGTTCAAACACATGAACTTGAGGAAGCCATTTCATATTCAGACCTAATCACCTAGTTACCTCTGTAGAAAGATTTTTCAAAGCCACAAACAAGCAGCAAAAATAATAATAATAATAATAATAATGATGATGATGATGACAATATTCTGACACACAAAAAACTAAAGGGAGATGGCTCAGTGGGTCAAGTGCTTGCTGTGTAAGCATGAGGACCTGAGTTCAGATCCCATCACCCACACAAATGCCACTGTTTACAATCCTAGCATGAGGAAGAGGGATGAGAGGATCCCAAAGGCTTGTCCAGGCAGCCAACCCAGCTTAACTGGACAGCTCCAGTTTCAGTAAGAGGCCTGTCTCAAAAATAAGGAAAGCAGGGGGCTAGAGAGATGGCTCAGTGGTTAAGAGCACTGGTTGTTCTTACAGAGGACCCAGGTTCAATTCCCAGCACCCACATGGTGGCTAACAACCATCCATAACTCCAGTTCCAGGGAATCTGACATACTTTTCTGACCTCTGTGGGCATTGCACAACATGGGTGCACTTGCACACATACAAGCAATACACTCATACACATAAAATAAATTAAAATGTTAAAAAATAAGCAATTAAGGAACATACCCAATGCCAACCTCTGCCTACTCCCGGGTGTGCACACATGCATATAGACACACCACACACACACACACACACACACACACACACACACGCATGCACGCACGCACGCACGCACACACAAATCAGTTAATTACACTGGAAAAAGAAAGATCCTAAAAATATTTACTTTTCTAAGAAAGACACATCAGAAGTAATACGGAGCTTTCTGGTCAGAGCTCTGAGCCTTCAATACATGTGCCAAATCTCTTTTAAGACCATCAGGATGCAACAAAGGCTAAAACACATTATGTATTTGCTGTATTACTTATTTCCAAGCCTTTCATCTACTTAGTGGTAAGATGTACATATGTAAGAAGAAATCCAAAGAGGCAGGCTGCAGATCTCCAGGAGCAGCTGTGCCATTTTGCATACACTGATTTAAAATACCCTGTGGCCTTAGACACCAAATGTCAGTACTGGCCACAGGTGGTTTCCTTCACCTGACTTGTTAGTGCCCACAGACCAAAGCAATACAGAACTGGTACCAATAAATGGTCTGACTTGTTCACACAGAGACCGATTGCTGTTTTCCCCTGGTGGGGCCTTCCTGGGGAGGAGATCTTCCCTCCCCGCAATGTCTCCTCAGCAGCCCTCAACATCTTACCGGAGAGCGAGGAAGAAGGACACTTCTAGAAGGAGAAAACTGCTGTCTTTAATCAGGTGGGCTTTGGGGGATAGACTTATTAAGTACAAGTGCTCTAGTACAAATTAAACAGATAAAAAGAATGCCTTGGAACCGAGGTGCTTGTGGGACCGTCAGAGGGTAAAGGATAGCCTGGACAGGAGTTCTCAGAAAACGCTTTTTCTGCTGGGAAGTCAGATAAACTGTGTAACAATACCCAGGTTCTCACAAAATAAATGTAGTATCATTTTTCTGGAAATTTATAGTTTTTTCATAAAAGAACCAAATTTCAAATTAAAAGCATAAAATGAAGTTTGTGCCACTAGAAACAAGCCTTTAAAGATGAAATATGCAGGGCTGGAGAGATGTCTCAGCGGTTAAGAACACTGGTTGTTCTTGTAGAGGACCTGAGTTCGAATCCCAGCACCCACATGGCAGATAACAACTGTCTATAACTCCAGTTCCAGGGGCTCCAACAGCCTCTTCTGACCTCCGCGGGCATTGCATGACACGGGTGCACTTACCTACATGCAGGCAATATACATACACATAAAATAAAAATAATAAATTTTAAAAAATGATGAAATATGCTTGATTGGTATTTCCCTCAGAAAAGACTTTCTACCCACTACATAACTCGGTAATTGTCAAGTCAGCTCATCGTAAAAAACAGTTGTTCCAGCAAACAGGAGATGCTTAAAATCTCTCCTTGGAAGAGTTTGTGAGAAAAAGAAATACCAGAACTCGAGAGAGAGGGAGGGAGGGAGGGAGGGAGGAAGGAAGGAAGGAAGGAAGGAGAGGGAGGAAGTAAAGAAGA